TGTATGTACCTAAATACATAAACTATACACACTACATATATACATGTACACATTTATATTGTACATGTTTACATATACATGTACACATATACATGTGCAATTTTCAACATTATCTATTCACTTAAAACATATAAATGTACATCCATTCACCATCCTTTGGGTATTGAGGCAAGTGCACAAGACACATACATAGATTTCCATTACACCATTCTTAAATATAAGGATGGGGATCAGCCTTGCAAAGAAAATAATCTTCACTGATAGTCAAAATGTGCTATGATTTCATGTTATTACATCATTTGTCATTAGCCCTTTAAGATCTGGTCATTATGAAGCCAATACCTTTCGTAATTTCTGTCAAAGTTCAATTAGCCACCCAGTTCTTTGATCTGTATCTGACAAACACCTTAGTGACCAAACAATGTTTAACTATGTTGACTAGAAATATTAGCATAACAGTTACTGTAGGAAAATCAAGCTTCAACTCTACACTTGCAAGGGAACACATTTCTTAGGTAAACTCACCTACATAGGAAATCATTTTGCTCTTCGTGTACTTTATATTTCTCTTTCCAATTCAGAATTATTCTGTATCTCTGAAGAGAAGGTAAAACAAACATATGTCCTTCTAGTAAAAGACAGCTGAAGTTTAATAGCGTTCTAAGTCTACAGTTGCTGATTAGGGAACAGATTAAAATTACAATTTGGTCTCAGTGTTTGCTTGGCTGTTAACCTCCAAAACTCAGAATCCATATTCTGGTCAATCATTTCCAATCTTTTGACATTCATACTACTTAAGTTACAGTCAATCAGTCAACAAGTATTTATTGCTCTGCCAAATAGGTGAACTACACATAGCACTAATAATTAATTCCTTTCAGGGTTGCATATTCTAGAAACGGTAAAAAGAATCATTACTCATATAAAAGTAGAAACAAAAGAATATTTAGAAAATGTTTCTTGAAAGTGCTGGTGAATCTCTTTTATCCCCCCTCACAACAGAAACATCAAGAGAATGTGTTCAAGATTTATGTATTAAGGAAAAGTGATTCATCTAGGAAGAACACGAGACAATTTTATAACTGCTGTTCACTTTCAAAGATGTTTAGAATTAACTTGTTGCTAAATGAAACTGTAAGATAATAAGCGTCCATTGTAGTTTCCTGTACTTTTCAGCTAGCATTGTTATTAAATCAATGTGAATGAATTAACCATGTTTAAAACTACAAAACCCAGATATTGTCAAAATTTAAGTCATTAACAAGTTATATTTTAAACAAATGTTATGTTTGTACTACATTTCTACATTTCAATTACTAGGGGGAGAAAAAGCACATTATCTCACTTTGGAAAAATATATATAAAACACATTAAATTTTTTTTCAAGCCACAGGGGAATTTTAGGGTAAGGAAACTATTCTGCATGCTTCTGTAATGGTGGACATATGTCATTCAACGTTTTAAAAACCCATAGAATGTACAACACAAAGAGAGAGCCCTAATGTAAACTACAAACTTTAGTTAATAATAATATAGCAGTGTTGGCTCATTGATTGTAACAAATGTGCCACACCAAAGCCAGATATTAATGATAAAGGTGATGAAGTGGGGGAGGGGGAGGGAGTATTTGTAAATTCTCTGTACTTTCTACTCATTTTCCTATAAATCCAAAAACTACTCAAAAAAGTAAAATAAAGTCTATTAAAATAAGAGAGAATTCAAACATTGTGATCATTTTTACCTTTGTTGATTAAAACTCAACAAATTAATAGTATCACATTTGACATAAACTTCAATATAAATTTCAATTTATAAATTTAAATGGTTTCAGAAATTATGCTAATATTGATAAGTTTTAATGCAGCAGTTCCTGTGAAGCACAGAACCATCATCTGCACCCTACTCATTCCCTCCTGTTAGTGTATGTACCTCTACTTCGTTCCAGTTTGAGACTTGAAAATGACTGTGAACACTGGTCAAAGAGTATGTGCAAATGTTCATTCAAATACAAATCCAACAATTCACACTTAATCAGAGAAAAAGGGCAGATGGTATCAAATAGGGCATTGACCTGGAAGCTGTCATGATTATAGTACATCTCTGGGAATCTAGAAGCTTGGTTTCAGAATATTTTTAAAAATCAGAAGCTTTTAAAATACAAGGTGGGCAGGAAAATGATGGCTCAGTAATTAATATCTATTACAATCCGCCTAGATATAAAAGAGAAAAAGAGAAAATTTTCAACTGAAGTATTAGAACTGAATCTTATTTTGGGATTCTCAAGCCTGCATTTTTATAGGGTTGTTTATACCTGTCTGAGCACCTTAATTTAATCCCCAAGGCACTTGTGTCCAGACCATCAAAGGTCAGAAGAAATCTTTTAGTCAGAAATTTTCATGAAGACTCAAATCTCCATAAAAGTAACCAGGATTGCAAAGAATGCTTAAAACAATTCAAAATATCAGCCCATTAAGTAATATCTGCGGTGTATCTACTACCCATCTAACACAGAAATAATTTTCATGCTAAAAGTATTGATGCATTGATGTCATAGATACATCAATAATTCATAGTTAAAGAGAAAATGGACCTCAGAAAATGTTTTGTGGAAGTCAAACTTTGTTTCCCCTAGGAAATGCGTTCAAAATATGAATTAAATTATAATATTTATCCTAACAAGGAAGGAACCAAAAATCCAGGAATGGAAATTAGGGAAAAACATAAATTCAAAATATCCTTACCGAGAGTATGAAATTTTGCTTCCTTCCACAGTCATGCAGTAGTGAGTCTATCATATCACTCCTATTCCTCAAAGTCAAAACCCAGTAGCTACCGAGAATTTTTAAGATGCCTCAGAATAAATAAAAAACAAAATACAGGTGATCACCTCAGTTGTCCAGGTTAAGTCTCTCATTTATTAATACTTCACCATTCACTGTTTTGAAGTATTCTCCAGAGACACAACCTTCACTGTAAAATTTATTTAAACATTTTTCACCTCTTCTTTTCTCACTTTCTTTATATTTCTTTCACAACCCCTAAATTCATTTCACCTCACTTAGACTCACTTTTTAGTTTAAAAATCTACTTTATTTCAAAACTTAACTACAGAAAAATTAAAAAGTGTTACACTCTGGGAGTAGTTTTTTGTTGAATGGCATACATTAACCTCCTCAAAAATGAACAGCGAAGTGGTTCCAGTGTTGTTAGAAATGGTTTCTGTTATTCAATTCATGCAACTACACTATAATCACAGATCAGACTCTTACTGGGTTCACCTAAGGCCTCCTCAGTTGACAATAAGCAGGCCTCCAAAAGTTGACTTGCCATGGATAGACCCACTCTCCCCTTGGGTGAGTTCTTATGACCTGGCCAACTCAAGAACAACAGACACAAAAAAAATTAAGTGACTTAACAATTCAAGAAGCCAAATTCAGGTTGTGAGGCAATACTAATAGAAATTCAATAATATGAATAGAAATTTTTTAAATATTAGGAAAGTTGAACTCCCTTTGTAAAATAAACCCAACTCTATTGTAGAATCTGTCTGCAGTAGCAGCTGTCACACACTGTATCAAAATCATCTGGATCATTATTTAAACTGCACTCATGGGCCAGGCACGGTGACTCAAGCCTGTAATCCCAGCACTTTGGGAGGCTGAGGCGGGTGGATCACAAGGTCAGGAGTCTGACACTAGGCTAGCCAACATGGTGAAACCATGTCTCTACTAAAAATCCAAAGATTAGTCAGGCGTAGTGACATGTGCCTGTAATCCTAGCTACTCAGGAAACTGAGGCAAAAGAATTGCTTGAACCCAGGAGGTGGAGGCTGCAGTGAGCCGAGATCACACCACTACACTCTAGCCTGTGCGACAAAGTGAGACTTCCTTTCAAAAATTAAAAAAAAAAAACTTCGCTAGCAATTATTCTTGGGTAATGAGTCTCTTCGGAGCCTAACGAAACTGCATTAGTAACAAGCATCTTCATTCTACCAGATAAGGTAGATAAGGTACAACCACTACCTTGTCTTACCTCTACCTTTGCCTCACTACTACCTTCCTATCACCAGTACTGCTCTCTCTGGATGCTTTCCCACTTATTGTTACAGACAAGGGGAAAGAAAAAAAACAATCTTTGTTGCCAGTTGCCCCCTACAGAAGGGTTTTTTTTTTCTTTCATGGCATGTTGTCACTTCTTACATTATAAAGCAAAATGTTGGAAGGAGTTAAGGTCATACTTATCTATCATAAATATGATTTTTGTCTTATATCTGGAAGGTGACATGATTTATGTTTCTTTCTAATAGCTTCACTTTAGCTTTCATTAGCAAATTAAAATATCAAGCTATCACATACAGATGCTGGCTAACTTAAAATTTTAAATGAATGAAACAAAAAGGAAAGAATCTCTGGCCTTCCTGTTGAGCATACCTCTTCCTGGGCTAATGGCATTGATCCTGAGTTAGTGAACTACTGATTCCTTCACTTGAACTACCTATGCACTACATCTGAACTATTCAGCTATCTCAATTCATCCCCAGCCTTTGCAGTTCTGGTTATTGCGTGCTTCAGAGAACCCACTAGCTAATATGCCCTATCTACTAATTAAAAGTCCATGTGACTTTCTATCAACACTTACCAAGACTTACTGCAATCTGTTCCAATGCTGTTTGATAGTTGGTCATTTTGTTCACATTTTAGAAATAATCATATTCAGTGTGTTAAAAATATGTAAATTCTGTAAGAACTACACTGCTCTGCAAGCAATTAACACTATGGTTAGAATTATTTAGCAAAACATTTCTTTTACTTCAGGGCTTATGGGAAAATAACCATATGTGTAATTCTAAGCCAGAGCTGAGTGCCGAAATAAATTTTGAGTAGGGGTCAGTCTTAGCATTTAAAAGACTGGACTTCCCGACTAACAACTTCAAAAAAGATAACCTGGAATTGAACATGGAATAACTGAAGAAAGTAGAAGTCGAAATTTCAGGCTCTTACCAGAAATGGACTCCAACAAATACAGGAGACACACATTATCGCCAGGAGCTGGATGACCATTTCCAAGTGATGAGATCTGCCTTGTCTGTGCTGCTGACTTTTAAATTTAACTCTTAAAAGTGTAATTCCTGTGATTGCATTGCACAACAATGAAACACCAAGGGCTAAGAGCCCCAGAAAAGAAAATAGTAGAAGATAAAATCTGTCTTCCCAGTCTTTGATGTCTTCTGTGTTGTAGAAACACCAGGTCCTCGATGCCTGAATTTTATAGTCTCGATGTCCAAGGATGGGCAGCAAAGCTATGAAAACAGCAAACAAGCACACACCACTTAACATCATTTTCACATGTTTGGATGTAATTTTCGTAGAATGAAATATTGGGTTTGTGACTCCAATACACCGCTCAATGGCCATCACACTGCCTAGAAGAAGTGGGCACAGACCAGAGAACACCATGCAGATACCAAAAACACTGCAAAGGACATTTGATTGGTCAAAGCGGATCCAGTCTTTATCAGAAACATACACAAATACTGCTATGGTCCCATTGATGAGATGGCCAAAGAAATCCGTAATTACCAGGCCACTAGCCAAAAGCAGAAACGAAGCCTTGGACTTCTGTCTAAATCTCCGATATGCCTTCACAAGAATGGCAATGGCAAGGCTGTTTGACAAGATTCCCACTGTCATGAAGATTACTGAAAAAAATACTGAAAGCCCGTTTTCTGTCTGGCAGGTTGTGTTTGAAAGAAGCCCAGCTGCAGGAGACACTGGCTGTTTGGAATTGTTCATAGACATTGTTGTGGAGATAAAAGCCAACCACTCAAGTCATCTCCCTCTCAAAACTGTGCAAGCTTGCAGTCCAGACATCTGTAGGATAAAGAGAGAGGAATTATGAACTGCTCATCTGACGTTTTATGACTGACGTGCCCCAGCATCCTGGGTGGAATAGGTTTCATCTGGCCTATTAGAAGCAAGGTTGCATCATACCAAAAGCAGCTCATATCTGCCTGTGGTTCTACATTTCATTTTCAAGGTGAAGAAGCTGTCGATATTGAGACCCATTGGTTAACTTCTGTGGCCCATTTGCAAATAAGCACCTCCTCCTGAATGCACCCCCACCCCACTTCACTGACACCTTAAAACTTTCAAGTTTTACAAAGTCACTGCCAAGATTAGATTTAAACCCAATAAGGTTTTTTAAATCATAATAGTCTATTAAAATGAACCAACAAACAACAACCAGACCTTTTAAAGTGTCTGCTCTTTCCTCCGGTGGGTTTTGTCCCCAAACTGCAGATTATTCCTCAGTTGAACTACCTGCTTTTAAGGCCAAGATAACAATCTCCAAACTTTGGAAGGGGACCAGCAAGTTCATTGATGTTAAACACAGATTTTCTGAATATGTTTCTAAGCCTAAATCAAATAACAGCAAACCACACACACATTGAACCTATGGAAAGCAGAGTGGTAAGTCTCTAGGAAGGTTTTCTGGTCTAGCTGCCCCTGTGCAGAAATTCTGATTCAGGATGGGGAAGGGGGCAGGCCACGCTCACTCTGTGCATCTCGGCCAAGATATTGTCCAATTACAGCTTCAGAATAGCAACATCCAAGGCCAAGTATTTACTTGTCACTCTTTCCCTAGAGGGCTGAAGTCTGAGTCACAGACACTGGATACACAAGGCCACAGCCACTCTGCTCCGAGCTAATTCGATTGGCGTTTCCCGAGCAGCTAGTTTTCCCGGAGGCTGCAAATTCCAGAGCCAGCTTTTCCTGCGCCCGGTCCGAGTGGGACTGCCTAGGCTTTCCCCAGGACGGTGGCCTCCTCCAGGTCTTACTCACAGCTCGACTTTCGCCCATTACTACCCCCGTCGCCCTTCGGCTTTGCCTCACAACATCCTCTCCAAATTAACAAACTCGCTGAAACATTCTGCAATTGCTCAAACGCCAGAGGGCTATTTCTCTCTTATCCAGGGGACCCGGAGTGAGGAGATGCCCGGGTCGGAACTCTAAGTGCCGCCCGCAGTCAACCCCGCAGCAGCGAGAAGCGGGATCTCTGCCTATTGATTTCCCTCTTCTGAGACCCTTTCTACCAGGTCCCCATCCAAACAGCTCAGAATGGGGACGGGTTAGCCCAAGTACCCTTCTTTACGCGTCTCCCTAGCTTAGAGAATATGGTCCAAACTCCGTGCCAGGCGCAGCAGACAGAAGATGCGGCCGGGTGTCCCAGGATATGGGTTGGTTAAACCTGGGTCTGGATAAGCATCCGGAGGCCGATGCGTTGGGATCAGCCTCTGGAGGGGTGGTTACCTTGTCATCCCAGGCCGCCAGCCAGGCTCTCTGTGGAGCAGAAGAGTTAGCCCGGTGTGCCATTGCGAGCCGAGCCCTGCGCCGCCGCTGCCTTAAGTTCCACCAAGCGCAGCGCGGAGATCCTGCCACTGGTCCGCTCCGCTCACTCGTTCCCTTAGCCCGGAACCTGCCAGGCGCACTCGGCTCCTAGGATCCCTCTGCACCTAGCTGCGCTCGAAGCCTGGTCAGGATGGGGCGCGCGAATGACCTCCGCCTCTTCCTCTTCTCTCTCCTCTCCGCCCCCTTTTTCACGGGTACAGAGCAGAACTGGGAGAGAAGAGGGCACTGCGCTCGCTCGGATGCAACCGAGCTGCGCTCAGCCACTGGAGCAGCTAAGGAAAGTTTTGTTTTAAACTCATTTTTATCCCCAAGCCATCACTGAGGATGCAAGACAGGAGTCTGGAGAGCGGAGGAAAGCCCAAAGTGCTGTGTTAGGCTGTCAGATCGTAGCTTGCAGACAATTCATTCCAAGTCCAGCTCCAAATTCATAAAGACACCAGAAAGAGGTTGTGTGTTTAAGGGAGAGCTGTGTGGCAAATATCCCCAAGGAGTTAAAAAGAGGTATTCAGCAAGGCACCGTGGCTCACGCCTTTGTAATCCCAACATTTTGGGAGGCCAAGGCGGGCGGATCACCTGAGGTCGCAGTTCGAGACCAGCCTGACCAACACGGAGAAAACCCGAATACCCGTCTCTACTTAAAAAAAAAAAAAAAAAAAAAAAATTGGCCGAGCATGGTGGTGCATGCCTGTAATCCCAGCTACTCCGGAGGCTGAGGGAGGAGATTGCTTAAACCCAGGAGGAGGTTGCCTTGAGCTGAGATCGCACCATGGCACTCCAGCCTGGGCAACAAGAGTGAAATTCTGTCAAAAAAAAAGATATTCAAGCCCAGAGTTGTAGATGAAAACACTCATAGCCTTAGGGTTCACTGTCACACAGAGGATTGGGACTGTTTCCAGCTTTCTAAGGAATGTGAAAAGGAAAAGAGGTGAGATACCTTCTTGAAGAACACCTGCAGATAAGAGATTAGTAACATTTTAGCGATTTTAGAAGTCCACTGGTGAGAGAATTTCTAGTGATATGTATACCCCAAGAGATGAGCATCTAATTTCATAAAGATAAATTTATGAGGAAGTAAATAAATATATTTTTTCATTAGGATTATGATTTTAGCCATTTTATTCTGTAATTGCTTTTAGCTAATATTGCTTTGACACATATTCATTAACTGTGTCTAATTTTTCTAGCTGAACACTTATGTGAATCTATTACTGACTTTCATTCTTTTTATTGTTGTGAAATGTTGCCACTACCTATGTGAAAAATCAGTGCCACACGGAAATGAACCCTGTTTCCCCATTCTAACATCAAAAGGAATCTCTAAATTCCTGAAAATTGGAAGGGACCAAAAAGTGCAAAAGTGGGATAAAATAAATTAGCCATTAACTGTAGAAAAGAATGACTGTAGTTCTCTCCTGTGGGAATTTTTAATATGAAATCATCATAACTTGTAAACTAAACTGTTAATTATGGCGAGAAAATTAAACATTTTGGTTAGATAACCTAGTTCCTAGAGAAATATTATACATGAATGGCCAGTATCCAAAGAACAATTATGTGATAAGCTATACTGAAAATATGAATGACACAGAGTACTATTCGTTCCTTTTTTTAAAGTATGTGAGTGCATATATAATTTTATTCTTTTTTTCTTTTTGAAAAAAACATGACATTTTTGCACCTATTGACCCATCCTCTAAGTCCCTCTCCCTGCCCCCCTAGCCCGCAACAGGCCTTGGTGCACGTTGTTCCCCTCCCTGTGTCCATGTGTTCTCACTGCTTAACTCCCACTTATGAGTGGAAGTTATGTGGTGTTTGGTTTTCTGTCCCTGTGTTACTTTGATGAGGATGATGGCTTCCAACTTCATCTGTGTCCCTGCAAAGGACAGGATCTCATTCCTTTTATGGCTGCATAATATTCCATACTGTATATGTACCACATTTTCTTTATCCAGTCTACCATGGATGAGCATTTGGGTTGGTTCTACAACTTTGATATTGTAAATAGTGCTGCAATAAACATACGTGTGCATGTGTATTCATAGTAGAATGATTTGTATTCTTTTGGGTGTATACCCAGTAATGAGATTGCTGGATCACATGGTATTTCTGGTTCTAGATCCTTGAGGAATCACTATACTGTCTTCCATAACGGTTGAACTGATTTACATTCCTACCAACAGTGTAAAAGCATTTATATTTCTCAACAGCCTCACCAGCATCTATTGTTTCTTGATCTTTTAATAATCACCATTCTAACTGGCATGAGATGGTATCTCATTGTGGTTTTGATTTGCATTTCTCTGATGATCAGTGATATTGAACATTTTTCATCTTTGTTGGTTGTGTAAATGTCTTCTTTTCAGAATTGTCTGTTCATGGACTTTGCTCACTTTTTCATGGGGTTGTTTGTTTTTTCTTGTAACTGTGTCAAGTTCCTTGTAAATTCTGAGTATTAGACCTTTGTCAGACTGGCAGGTTGCAAAAATCTCCCATTCTGTAGACTGCCTATTCACTCTGATGATAGTTTCTTTTGCTGTACAGATGCCCTTAGTTTAATTAGATCCCATTTGTCTATTTTGACTTTTGTTGCAATTGCTTTCGGCATTTTTCTTATGAAGTCTTTGCCCATGCCTATGTCCTGAATGGTATTGCCTAGATTTTCTTCTAGGGTTTTTACAGTTTTAGGTTTTACATTTAAGTCTTTAATCGATCTTGAGTTAATTTGTGTATAAAGTATAAGGAAGGGGTCCAGTTTCAGCTTTCTGCAGTTTTTCCAGATAGCCAGTTTTTACAGCACCATTTATTGAATAGGAAATCCTTTCCTCCTTGCTTGTTTTTGTCACATTTGTCAAAGATCAGATGGCTGTAGATGTGTGGTGTTATTTCTGAGGTCTCTGTTCTGTTCTACTGGTCTATATGTCTGTCTTTGTACTAATACCATGCTGTTTTGGCTACTGTAGCCTTGTAGTATAGTTTAAAGTCAGGTAATGTGATGCCTCCAGCTTTGTTCTTTTTGCTTAGGATTGTCTTGGCAATATGTTGTCTTCTTTGATTCCATATGAAATTCAACGTAGCTTTTTTCTAATTCAGTGAAGAATGTCAATGGTAGTTTCATGGGAATAGCACTGAATCTATAAACTACTTTGGGCAGTATGACCATTTTCACAATATTTTTTCTTCCTACCCATGATGATGGAATGTTTTTCCATTTGTTTGTATCCACTCTTATTTCCTTGAGTAGTGGTTTGTAGTTCTCCTTGAAGAGGTCTTTCACATCCCTTGTTAGCTGTATTCCTAGGCATTTTATTCTCTTTGTAGCAACCATGAATGGGAGTTCTTTCATGATTTGGCCCTCTGATTTTCTATTGTTGTGTAAAGAAATGCTTGTAATTTTGTGCATTGATTCTGTATCCTGAGACTTTGCTGAAGTTGCTTATCAGCTTAAGAAGTTTTTGGGCTGACACAATGGCATTTTCTAAATATAAAATCATGTCATCAACAAAGAGAGACAATTTGACTTCCTCTCTTCCTATTTGTATTTGTATTTTTATTTCTTTCTCTTGCCTGATTGCTCTGGCCAGGACTTCCAATACTGTTTTGAATAGGAGTGGTGAGACAGGGCATACCTGTCTTGTTCTGGTTTCCAAAGCGAATGCTTCCAGCTTTTGCCCTTTCAATATGATATTGGCTGTGGGTTTGTCATACATAGTTCTTAATATTTTAAGATATGTTCCATAAATACCTAGTTTATTGAGCATTTTTTTACATGAAGAGATGTTGAATTTTATCAAAGGTCGTTTCTGCATCTATTGAGATAATCAAATGGGTTTTGTCATTGGTTCTGTTTATGCAATGAGTTATGTTTATTGATTTGCATATGATGAACCATCCTTGCATCCCAGGAATGGGGCCGAGCTGAACATGGTGGATAAGTTTTTGGATGTGCTGCTGGATTTGGTTTACCAGTATTTTATTCAGAATTTTTGCATCGACACTCATCAGGGATATTGGCCTAAAGTTGTTTTCTTTCCTTTTTTTTTTTTTTTTGAGACAGAGTTTCACTCTGTCACCCAGGCTGGAGTGCAGTGGTGTGATCTCAGCTCACTGCAACCTCTGCCTCCCAGGTTTAAGTAATTCTCCAACCTCAGCCTCCGAATAGCTGGGACTACAGGTACATGCTACCACATCTGGCTAATTTTTGTGTTTTTAGTAGAGACAACGTTTTACCATGTTGACCAGGCTGGTCTTGAACTAAGTTTTCTTTTTTTATTGTGTCTCTTCCCAGTTTTGGTATCAGGATGATGCTGGCTTTATAAAATGAGTTAGGGAAGAGTTCTTCCTTTTGAATTATTTGGAATAATTTCAGAAGGCATGATACCAGCTCCTCTTTGTACCTCTAGTAGGATTCAGCTGTGACTCCATCTGGTCTTGGGCTTTTTTTGATTGATACACTATTAATTACTGCCTCTATTTCAGAATTTGTTATTGGTTTATTCAGAGATTTGACTCCTTCATGGTTTAGTCATAGGAGGGTATATGTGTCCAGGAATTTATCCATTTCTTCTAGATTTTCTAGTTTATTTACATAAATGTGTTTGTAGTATTCTCTGATGGTAGTTTGTATTTCTGTGGGGTCAGTGGTGATATTCCCTTTATCATTTTTTATTGCATCTATTTGATTCTTCTCTCTTTTCTTCTTTATTAGTCTAGCTAGCAGTCTATCTTATTTTGTTAAAAAAAAAAAAAAACAGCTCCAGGATTTTATTGACTTTTTGGAGCATTTTTTGTGTCTCTATCTCCTTTAATTCTGCTCCGATCTTAGTTATTTCTTGGATTCTGCTCTTCTGCTAGCTTTTGAAGTAGTTTGCTTTTGCCTCTCTAGCTTTTTTAAATTGTGATGGGAGGGTGTCCATTTGAGATCTTTCTAGCTTTCTGACATAGGCATTTGGTGACATAAATTTCCCTCTTAACACTGCTTTAGCTGTGTCCCAGAGATTCTGGTAAGTTGTCTCTTTGCTCTAATTAGTTTCAAAGAACTTCTTGATTTCTGCCTTAATTTCATCATTTACCAAGGAGTAATTCAGGATCAGGTTGTTCCATTTCCATGTAATTATGTGGTTTTGAGTGAGTTTCTTAATCCTGAATTTTAATTTGATTGCACTGTAGTCTGAGAAACTGTTATGATTTCAGTTCTTTTGAACTCTATCAGGTTATTTATGCTCCTCTCTAAACTTTTTGTTCTAGTCAGCAGCTCCTCTAACCTTTTATCAAGGTTCTTAGCTTCTTTGCATTGGGTTAGAACATGCTCCATTAGTTCAGCATAGTTTTTTATTCCCCATCTTCTGAAGCCAACTTCTGTCAATTAGTCTGTCTCATCCTCTGTCCAGTTCTGTGCCTTGCTGGAGATGTTGCAATCATTTGGAGGA